TTCTCTTTTCTTCCAGTAGTTCTTTGAAGTGATTAACCCAGTCTCTATTTGTTATCCTTGGTTTCCAGATGTCCTTAGGGCCTTAATGGTTTTCCATGCTTCTGAGCTTTTGGTTCCTCCTATATATTGTTCAATATATTCACACCTTTTTTTTCTTTACAACCTTACTTTTTATTTCTCTGTTGGTCTTTCTATATGCGTCTTTCAATTCGTTATCTTGTTTTTGGAGAAAATTTAGGTACAATTCTTTCTTTCTTTTAATATTATTCTCTATGTCTCTGTCCCACCATTCTCGTCTTTTTTCTACTTGGTATCTTCCCAGCGATTCAAGTGCTGCGTTTATAATGCATGATTTAATATGTTCATATTCTTCTTCTGTTATTTTGTCCGCTATATGTAGCTTTTGTTCTAATCTACTCATAAACAAATGTCTAGTACTATCGTTTATTAGACTTTCCAGATTGAATCTTATTACACTGGCTTGATCCATATTATTGTTATTTCTGTTAATAGTGTGGTTGTAATACTAGGGAATAAAAACTTTTGCTTCTACAAACCGATGGTCAGATCCACAATCAGCCCCTCTCCTAACTCTGACATCTTGTATTTTTATTTTTGATTGTTGTCGTACGATTAAGTAGTCAATTATTGACTTTAGTCCTCATGAGTGTTGATACCAAGTATATTTATGAATGTCTTTTGTGGAAAAAACGTGTTACATATTCTCGGCTCAAATTCACTACATGGATTTATGAGTCTTTCCCCGTTGTTATTAATGGCCTCTTCACCATGCATGCCAGTAACTTTATTATCTACTTGTTTTCCTACTCGTCCGTTCAGATCTCCGGCTATTATAATTTCGTGCCGGTGTGGGATATTGTCTAAAACCCATAATGTACTCCCAAAAAGATTTAATTCGCTCAATGTATAGGGTTGTTCGGAAAGTCATTTCGTTTTTTTTTTGTGGAAATGAAAGACAGTTTTCGTATAATAAACAAATACTTTATTAAATTATATATTGACCGTTCTAGTCCAACACCTTTTGCCATCTTTCTGGTAGTAGCATAATTCCACGCTCATAAAATTTTTGGTCTTTGCTGGCAAAAAACTGATCGAGGAGGTTTTTGACCTCCTCATTTGAGGTGAAGGTTTTACCGTCTAAAAAATTTTGGAGTGACCGGAACAAATAATAATCCGATGGTGCCAGGTCTGGAGAATATGGTGGGTGTAGCATTGTATCCCATTCAAGCTGTAAAAGCTTTTGGCGAGTGACCAAACTTGTGTGAGGTCTCGCGTTGTCTTGGTGAAACACTACACCTTTCCTGTTGATTAGTTCTGACCTTTTCTGTTGAAGTGCATCATTCAGTTTGTCCAGCTGATGACAGTAGACTTCCGAATTAATCGTTGTGTTATCCGGTAAAAGCTAAAAAAAAACGATTCCTTTAAAATCCCACCAAACAGACAGCATCACCTTTTTTTGGTGAATATCGGCTTTGGAAATGGTTTGAGCCGGTTCATCTTTTTTGCTCCATGACCTCTTGCGTTTGACGTTGTTGTATACAACCCATTTTTCGTCCCCAGTGATGATGCGCTTCAAAAACGGATCATTTTCGTGACGTTTGAGAAGCGAATCGCAGACGTCAATGCGGCGACACAGATTTCTCTCTGTGAGAACATGGGGAACCCATACATCGAGCTTCGAGGATAATCCCAGGCCTTTCAAGTGGTCATAAACTGTTGAATTTGATAAATTTAACCTCAATCCGATCTCACGTGTTGTTATTCGCCGGTTCACATCAACTAATGCCTTTATCGCGTCTTTATCAGCTTCAACCGGCCTTCCCGAACGTGGTGCATCTTCGACATCAAAATTGCCGGATCGAAATTTAGCGAACCAGTTCTGGCACTGGCGTACTGTCAACACACCTTCTCCATACACATCAGTCAATTTCTTTCTGGCTTGAACAGCATTTTTACCCTTTCTGTAGTAAAACAGTAAGATATGTCGAAAATGCTGCTTATCGCTCTCCATATTTAAAAGGGCACCAACCAAAAACTACTGCGTAGAATTAATTGGAATTTTTCACACACAAGCCTTGCTATATGAGCTCTCAAAGCATATAAAAATTATACGGCTTAAATGTGAAGTTGGGTGCAAAAGACTACAATTAAATCCTCTGTCGGGAAAAAACGAAATGACTTTCCGAAGAACCCTATATTTTTAATAACTAATCGATTTTAGACAGTCTGGTGCAAAATGCTCTTTGCCGTTTAAATAAAATCTTATCTTCAAGATAACTTGATTGAATTCAGTCCCTGTGAAACTGTTTCTTTGTGGCATCATTTTTAAATAATTCCGACGAATACCAGTCGGGATACATGCTATTATTCTGAAAGCTTAGAATCTGTATATGAATAGAAAACATCTACGCATTCAAATACACATTTATTCGTAAACAATGAAGTCCATTCCAGCAAGATTTAATCTGATCTTCTCATAAGCAGCATTATAAAAATCAGTTCAATATTTTCTTCTGTTTCTTTTTTAACGGCAAGAATGTCCAATATAAAGAAATGTAGGATTATGGTGAGATTTATTCACGGGAACAAAATGGTCCTAAGAAAAATTGATTCTTAACTATTACTGTTGCCAGATCCAGTGTGTACTGTTTGGTTTGGTGAACTGGATGAAATTGCTCACACTCACACTCATAAGAGATATAACATTCAATAAAGCATTTGAATTATCTTTTACTTGCTTATCAGTACGGTAGCAAAGTGTTTAAAGTAGATTTAAGGGTTTAAAAAAGCATTAATAATAAGTCTTTATTTAAAGTTTCAGCAGGATTTACACTTATATCATACTCCTTTGTATCTTCAAAATCATTAGATTTTTCATTTTGCTGTGTCTCAGCTGAAACTCAATTAATGCATTTGATGTTTTCGAGAGGAAGCTAAATCCTTACCTATTTCATCATCTTTAATACTAGAAACGCTATCAGTCATGTCTTCTTCCTTTACAATTTCAACTTATATGCTAAGTCAAGTATTTATCAAGTCTTTGAAATCAGTATAATCTTTAGTAATGATAAGTAATATGTCAATCTGCTTTTGTGAGTTTATAACAATAACAAGTTTCTTTTCTAGTTCAAGTATTTTCATTGCAGAAGCTATAAAGGCTGCACAATTTTTATCATCCTCTCTATGCATATATCTAATGCACTTTGAAAAGTTCAGCGTCGAGAAACATTTTTAAATCATCCTGGGTTTCAACACCGTTTCAAAAACTCACCTCATAGTAGTTGGTGTAAACCCCCAATCCTTTCCGATGGCTCTTCTAGTTTGTCATATGTAATAGATTGTGAGCTATTCCTCAGAAAGTTCAGATGGTCTTTCCAGGATAATTTGATACTCAGAATGGCCTAAGGTATTTTACTGAATTTTGTATCCGTTTTCTTAAGAACACAATGACTTCTGTCTTCCCATCTATGTTCTACAAGGATGATTGTCTTTTGGCAGTCCAGGAGGGTGCTGAAGAAAGAACGCTACACTATAGTGTCATCCCCTGGAAGCCATGTCCTGATAACTCCGTCAGGAGTTTATCAACCACTAGATGAAGGGCGACAGGATACCACCTTTCACCAGACGGTAGATCTACTTTTAGTGATCTGGATAAGTCGATTGCCAAGTATTCCACAATGCCTGTTTATTGCCTATCTGGTCTTTTGGATTGTAAGAATACTTTTGAGCAGCTGTCGGATTTCTTTCAATTGCTTGAGTCTTCGCGTAGCGGCCACTCTCAATGAGAAGGGAATTGTCCAAAAATTATGCCCCATTTCCGGTTAGATCGGAAATGGTCTATGTTTGTTGTTCTTCTCTAAGTTGAAACATCAAAATGCTATGCTCGTTGTGTCTAGCTGACACTTCGGGTAAATCGAATATTTAAGTTTAAGAAAACGATCTTTTTCAATTGACCTTCTACATCTCTGTTTTTGAGACAAATTTATTAGTGCTTTTAAAAACTAGCTATAGTCTTTTGCTTTTGAGTTATAAACAAAAGTTGAAATTTTCGAGTTTCGGCTACATGTCCACATCCTGGTTGTTTGCAACATTAGAAAGAAATTTATGTTCTTCGGTGTTGCCAGAAATAAAATAAAAAATCACCCCCTTTCAAGTTATAACATAAACTTGTATTTTTTTTAAGCGGGAATCATAGTTGCCAATACTTTAGTTAAAAAGATAATTTTTTTTCTTGTTCAAAAAGGTATATAGGTATAATATAAGGGGTCGCATCCGATGGGTAAACAATTAATTTCGAAAACATTCTTTTCGTAGTTTACCCCTTGCATTTTTACATTGGCTTCTAGTAGGCGTCTGTCATTTATATTGTAATTATTACCAGTTGGTCATTTTTTAAAGTAGAAGAAATTCTTCTATGAATAACTTACTTACTTTTAAGCTGCTGAACGATTTTCCCAGAGTCGAATCTTTTCATAGAACATTCTAGAAGAAATAGATATTTCATGCCTGTTACAACCACAGGTACTGAAGCAAAAATGGAGCAATAAATAAAGGCATTAATGGTAAAGATGAAAATAGGACAAGAAGAATTGAAAGCAACTCATGGAGAAATAAAAGAAGAATTAAAAGCAGCTCAAGAAGAAACGAAAAAGGGACAGGAAGAAATGAAAGATGAGTTGAAAGCAGCTCAGAAAAAAATGAAACTGTTTCAGAAAAAGCAACCGCACTAATCAATAATTTCTTTACGAGGAGAAGCACTGGATATACTATACTACAAAAAAGGCTAGTCTCAACAACATGACTTCCATCATCTTGTCAACCCCTTAGAAATGAGATTCGACGATAAATATCTAGAACAAGTACATCATATGCAACTGAAAAGGCGTAACCTACGAAGTACGATACTCTTCAACAATTTAAGTTTGATGTGGAGCGCCTCGAAAAATTAGCCTACTCATGTGCTCCACAATAATTCATAGACCAACCGGCAGTACAAACATTTATCGATGGACTCAGAGACAAGTGAAGCACTGTCATACTCCCTCGAGTTTGAACCATCGAAACAAGTTTCTAAAGACCATGTACGGGTTCCGCAAGCAGGAATCGACGATAGTGCAATTGCAAAAGCAGGTGTTATATCGCTCATCAGAGAATGCGTAATCGATGTGAAGAAAGCTTCTGCCACAAAATTGTTGTTATGCTGGAACATGCAAGAAGTATAGTTGTTATCCAAAATGCTAGAATTGTGGACGAATTGGTCACCTAAGTCAAGAGTGACTCCTAAACAATGTATTATCTTTTTTTTTTTTTTTTATCCGTGTATCTCCAAGTATAATCGAACTTTCGATGTAAAAAAGAATTTTATTTTGTAAAATGTTAGAAAATTAGTCCACAAAAAAATATCTGTCGAATCAAAAGGTACATTCGTATTTAGTTTCTAAGTAATCATTAACAACTGAAACAAAAGTTTCACACAATACTTGATTATTAGTAACAACAACGTTTTCTAGATTAGGCAACAAAAAATATTTCTGAAAATTGACATGTGACAATTTGAGCAGAATGAGAGAATTACTAAATTTAAACAATTCTTTGATTTATCTCAACACTCCTTCTCAATCAAATAATTACAAATATTTACAAGCAGATTTTTGTTTAAAGGTTTAGTCAGAATGTCGGCGATTTGTTTCGTGCCTTCAATATGTTTGACAGACACAGTCACGTCAACATGTTGTTGAATAAATTTACGTGCGATTTCAATGTGCTTCTTTCCTTTGTTTACCTTACCCTCGTGAGTGTTTATCAACATATGAACAGCTGACTTGTTGTCAACATACATGGGGAAGGGTTGATTATCTTGCAGGATCTTTAATTCTCTCGCCAATCTTCTCATCCAGCACACATCATCGATCGCTTCACATGCCGCTCGATATTCTGCTTCTGCTGTCGAGGTCGCCACAAGTTTCTGTCGTTGTGAGTACCAAACTAGCGGGCCTCCTCGGAGTATCAGTCGTCCACTTTTTCTCCTCCAAAATCTGCATCAGTGAATACTTTGGAGTTCCTTTCAAGTACTGAAATACTCGTATTACCATTTTGCAATGGCTTTTCATTGGATTGCAGCATTGTCGACTCAAATAATTTACAGCAAAGCTGATGTCGGGCCTTGACACGGTTGCGAGGTAAAGCAAGCTGCCAATGGCTTCACGATAGGGTGTTCCAACTGGCACTTTCTCATCGTTCATAAGTTTCTCCTTCTTTGTTATCATACCTGGTTCCATCGGCGTTGGAGCTGGGTTGCAATTTTCAAGGTTCATCCTTCGCAGGATTTTCTCCACGTACTTTGGTTGACTCACGGAGATGCCCTTCGAGTCAATTTTCAGCTCCATGCCGAGATAACAGAATTTTTAGGGATGGTCTTGCAGTGTGTGATTTCAAACTTTATCTTGATTTGTTCCAGAAGTTTGAAAATCTCCTTCTCGTCCTTCCCAGCAATCAAACCGTCATCGACAAACAATGCCAAAATAATGCTTCTGTCTTTGTTATAAAAAAAAATTGGGTCGTCGTCAGTGCTTAACAATCCGATTTTTTCAAACTGTCTGGTGATTTCAGCCCATAAATACTCTTGAGTAGTTGACACACTTGTCCAGAACTGTCGTCGAACCCCTCTGGCTAATTCATGTACAGAACTTGCTTCAACTTGCCATACAAAAATGCGGTCTTCAAGTCAAAGGATATCAGTTTCCACTTTTCGGATGCTGCATGACTCAAGATGAGTCGGATGAAGGCGTAGCAAGTAACGGGACTGAATGTTTCCTCGTAATCAATGCCTTCTCTTTGTCCAATGCCTCATGCTACAAGCCTCACCTTCAGCTTACCATTCGCCTTTCCGCGAAGAACCCACTTGCAGGTCAAGGGTTTGATTCCTTCAGGGCACTTCACCAGCTTTCACATTTGCCTCTCGATCAGCGAATCATACTCATCTTGCATGGCTCGTTTCCAGTTTTCATCTTTTAGCGCCATCTCGACCGAAATATCCTCGATGTCGCCTATGAGGGCTGAATCCTCGTTGCTTCCACCTTTTACGTAGCCAGCCACGTCATAGCCATACTTCGAGGGAACTTTCAACTTGCTGCGGTCTCGTAGTTGTCTTCTCTCCGGTGTTGTGTTTGGTGCTATCTCCACTCATTATTTTTTTCTCCTTTCTTCAGCATTTCTGTCCTCGCCTGAGTGGCTCTTCTTCTTCATTTTTACTTTCTTCTTGTTCTTCGGTCTTGACTTCAATCTACCTGTCGGTTGCCACACTCTTAACTTCAATTCGACTTCTTTCGTTTTCTTCATCGAACTTCACATTTCCAGAGCTGATGATTTTCTGGGTGCGTGGAAGATACACTCTATAACTTGGTGACTCCACGTCGTAGCCTACAAAATACCCCTTCTCCGACTTCGGATCCAATTTGCCTCTCTGGTGGTCTTGAATCAATACGTAACATTCACATCCAAAAGTCCTCAGTTCGTTCAAGTCAATCTGTCTCCCATACCACAATTCTGTCGGTGACTTTCCTTTCACTGTACTGGTGCCAGTCTGGTTTATTGTAAATAATGCGTAGTAAATCGCCTCGGCCCAAAGTTATGAGTCCAGGTTTGCTGCAAGTAAAGCTGTTATTGCTGCTTCCTTGATGGTCCTCATTTCACGTTCAATACGCCCATTTTGTTGCGGTGTATTCACATTCGAGTGTGTGTGATCATCAAGAAATTTTCTTGTCCTTGCATTTTTGATTTCTTTTCCTTAGTTGGATCTGAGTACTTTCAATTTTCTTACCAGTTGGTTCTCTGTCATCTTGTTTTCATAAAGAAAACAGTTCGGAAGTGCGAGAAATAATCCTTAAATAGAAGAAAATATTTAGCGCCACCTAGGGAGCGTTCACCCATCTCTCCCATGTCCACGTGGACTAACTCCAGTGGTTGGCTTTATGTCTTCTCGTTGAGGGGATGAGAGCCACAGTGCTGCTTACCGTACGCACAGTCTGTACATAAGTAATTGTTCCAGTCGTCCAAGTACTTGATTCCTTTCTTGTCCAAAGCCTGTCGTACGTACTTTATGTTTTGATGAGCGAATCTTTCATGCCAAATTGGAATTGACACTGCCGCCAGACTCAGTTGCTCCTTTTTCTTCCTCAGCATCATATTGTACAAGATTCCAGTAGTTCCCTGATCAGCCGATACAAATTCTGATTTTGCTCTGTCCGATTTCATCTTGTATCCTCGATCAAGCATGTGACTCACAGAAAATAAGTTGTACTGCAATTCAGGTACATGTAAAACATTTGTCAGAATAACTGGTCTTGTTTTGTGGTTTTCCTTGATGCTTTTTATTTTTCTTCACGAGAAGTGCATTGCTGGAACTTACTTCTAGTTCACTTGTCTCATCGCGTTGACGATCATCTTCGAGTCTCAGTCTTTCGATCATAGTGATCAGGCTCCTGTCGGCTGCTGGCACGTTATCCCACGACATACGAAAATAAGAAAGTCTCACTGGCAACATTTTTAGAATTTTGGTCATCATCCATGATTCCGGCACAGGTTCACCACCGTGGGTTAGTTCATCACCTATGGACATAACTTCCATGCAGTTTTCGGCCACCGATTTGCTTTCATCGTATGTACATGTGAAAAGTTTCTGTCTCAAAACTTCCATGTTCATCTCTGTCTTCGTGCCGTACAAGCAAACTAGTCTGTCCAACATTGCTCTTGCCGTTTTTCAATTTGCAATTTTATATGCGATTTGATCACTGACATTCAATACTATTAGTTGCAGAGCCTCCATGTCTTTTTCCTTCCATTCAACGACTGCAGCGACATTTTCAGCTCCTTCCGGCTTGACCTTGACTCCGGTTGCAACATCATACAACTTCTTGGTTCTCAAAACAGCATCTAATTTTAACCTCCACGGCACATAGTTTACTACTCCTTGTGAGTTTTGACTCAGCATTACAAGTTGTGATTTTACAGTGTCCATTTTTACCTTTTGACTTGACTTTTAAATTCACTTTCTAAATTGCGACGTTCCTGCTCAGATCTGCCTTTCAATTTAAGCTCTTTCACAGACTTTTCCTTGGAGATGAAATTTCACCACTTTCTGGGCCCATAACCTGTTGGGATTTTATCCGTGGTATCTCCAAGTATAATCGAACTTTCAATGTAAAAAATAATTTTATTTTGTAAAATGTTACAAAATTAGTTCACAACAAAATAGCTGTCGAATCAAAAAGTACATTCGTATTTAGTTTCTAAGTGAACATTAACAACTGAAACAAAAGTTTCACACAATACTTGATTAATAGTAACAACAACGTTTTCTAGATTAGGCAACAAAAAATATTTCTGAAAATTGACATGTGACAATTTGAGCGGAATTACTAAATTTAAACAATTCTTTGATTTATTTCAACACTATATCATCTGCAAATCTAAGCATACAAATCTTTTGCCCTTGTACATCTATCCCTACAGTTGTACTGTCTTTAATGATGTTGACCGCGTCTTCGATGTATAGATTAAAAAGTGACGGTGACACTGTGCATCCTTGTCTGACTCCCTTCCTCATATTTACTTCTCTACGTTGCACCTAATTGTTTGTCGTTAGTTTAAGACTTTCAGCATAAGTTGATTTGACAATGCTTGTGCTGACTATACAATAATAAAGGGAAACCAGGTGTATTAATGGTATAACTTTCCTACGCCAAGTGACCTCCTGGTAACTGCGATACAGTCTAGTGATACATTTTAGCTTAAATGCTGCCCAGAATTAAACCTAAATTACAATCATTGACACAGTAAAAGTACCTCTAAATTTCCATTTTAATTAGTATATTTTTTTAATATAAATAGGCACGTACTATTTGGAATTGAGTATAAATGATAAAACCGTATTTAAATAGCTTTTTTGATATTAATATCGAGTAAATCCGTCCTAAAAGTTATAACAGATAACACAGTAAATGAAGATAATGATATATTTCCTGGTTAGGTGTTTTAATTTGAATTTAAACAGTTTGGTCTGCGATTGTTGTTTAAGTTATTTTCGATTCCAATTTAAATACTATACTTCATTACTATTCATACTCAATGTTTGACCAATAGTTCATTTAATCGCAAGAAAGTAATGTCTGATTTGCGTGTGGAAGTAGTGAAAAATGAAGTTGTCTAAAGTGTATCGCAGTCCCAATAATAATTGTGAGTTAACTAATATATTTTAGTTAGAAGTAATGAGATAAGAAGTTATTCTTACTTTTTGTAGTTCAACAAGTGAAAGAAACGATTAAAAAGGGGGGAGTTACAGCAGATATTCGGCTTCCAAAATGTAATTTTACTCCGCAACCTTATTCGGTAAAATCAAATTCTTTTTATTACTTTGTTAAATATCTAGTTATTTTATTAACATGTTACAGCCAAAAACAATGAAAAAAGAGTGACTTTGGTCTTTAAAACACTTTCGAAAAAGGTCATTTCAGTCTATATGCAGGATAATTCTTTGAAATTGTGAAAAACAGATTCTATAAACGTTTATCTGAAAATGTTTCGTTACCAAGATACAGGGCGTTAATGTTTTTTTAATTATTAATTTATTATTAAAAAAAAATAACGCCCTAGATTTCAATAACAGAACGTTTCCGTATACATGTTTATAGAAATCCTATTGATTATTTTTATGAAAAGTATTTATTTTTAAAATTTTTCGAATTATTAAGGAATCAGTTTAAATTTGATTTAAAGAATAACCTTTGTATTTTTAAAAATATGATCTCTAATTACAAGAAAAATTTATAGCAAACGCGCAAACGTCTGGACTTGATGCTGTTCGTAATAAATTCAAAATAGATTAAGTAAATATCTTCGCTTTTACTTAGGGAAATGTTTATTTAATTCACTCAGTTTCATTCGTAATAATTTCTTATAGAAGATATAAACGCTGAAATTTATGAATAGAATAATTGAACAAATATATAAAGAAATAAAAATGTTTATCTATCAAAATAGCTCAAAATTCCAACGATACTGTAGTTGTCCGAAGCACTTTTCGGTAATAAGGTTACCTTCTTCAGGGACTGAAGTGAATTAACTGAGTTTTTTTCGAATTTTGTTTGTTCTACAACAACCGCCAACGTTTTTCCAATCTTCATATTTATCTATCAAATTGAGAGTATATGTTACCTAGGTACTAAAAAAATTAGCATTGTTGGTTTTTTAATTGCAGCATATCAAACTTAAGGCCTCTTGCACACAAACGATCAACACGTCGACCGGCTATTTCACGTTTAAATTATCATACAGACGACACCGCCGACTGTAGGGATTTAATTTCTGATCAGTTAGCAGTGCCGTACTGTCATTCGATCAAGCTTCCTTATAAGTTTAAGATTTCGGGGGTTTGAAGAATAAAATGCGAAAAGAAATTTGTACTTGTGTATTTTGTGTACAAAGAATATATAGATAAAAAACATTAACAAAAAAAATGTAGAAACGAGTACAGTATAGGAACACGTTTAAACGTTATTGGGAGTACAAAGAACGCATGAAGCAAAAATTTCCAATTACATTAAGATTCATGAAAATATGTTACACATGCCATCTCAGGGGGCTTGTTAGTTTAATTTGTGTCTTTAAATTCGTCAGTTACTTTTTCGATTATACAAATGAATGCTTTAATATAAAAATTTTCAATTTTTGTACCAGTAGGTGTACCGTTGCAAATGTTAAAATGGAAAATTGAGATCTATGACCATTTATGTAATTCTCCTATATAGTCAATTGGTATAGGAAAGAATGCTGTGCCATTTTCAGAAACCGGTGGATTGTGTGGGGTTCGGAAGGTATATTCCTTGAACCTTTAGACGTTTTTTGATCCTGGGTTTACTTAGTTATAATTTGTTGGGTGTCCATGGTCCAGGTCAATTGAAAAGTCCCCGGCCTAAAATAGTAAAACACATTTTTTTTGCAAAATTCGTTTTTTTTATTCAACATAATTCCCTTCAAGGGTGATACACTGATTATAGCGATCCTCCAACTTTTCGATACCATTTTTGTAGTACGATTTGTCCTTTGCTTCAAAATAGGCCTCAGTTTCGGCGATCACCTCTTCATTCGACGAAAATTTTTTCCCAACGAGCATTCTTTTGAGATCTGAGAACAGGAAGTAGTCGCTGGGGGCCAGATATGGAGAATACGGTGGATGCGGAAGCAATTCGATGCCCAATTCATGAATTTTTGCCATCGTTTTCACTGACTTGTGAGACGGTGCATTGTCTTGGTGAAGCAGGACTTTTTTTTTCTGCAAATGCGGTCGTTTCTCGGCGATTTCGTCCTTCAAACGGTCCAATAACGCTATGTAATAGTCGCTGTTGATGGTCCTTCCTTTTTCAAGGTGGTCAATGAAAATTATTCCACGCGCATCCCAAAATACAGACGCCATAACCTTGCCAGCCGACTGTTGCGTTTTTGCACGCTTTGGAGCGGGTTCATCGTGTACAGTCCACTCCGATGACTGTCGATTGGACTTCGGAGTGAAATGATGGAGCCATGTTTCATCCATTATCACATATCGACGCAAAAACTCGGGTTTATTACGCGTGATCATCTTCAAACTGCTCTGAATCATCAACTCGTCGTTGTTTTTGGTCAAGAGTGAGCTCGCGCGGCACCCACTTTGCACAGAGCTTTCTCATACCCAAATATTCGTGAATGATGTGATGTATACGTTCCGTTGATATCTGTAGAGTGTCTGCTATTTCATTCAATTTCAATTTACGGTCATTCAAAATCATTTTGTGGATTTTTTAATGTTTTCGTCCGTAACAGCCTCTTTTGGGCGTTCACTGCGTTCACCATCTTCGGTGCTCATTTCACCACGTCTAAACTTAGCATACCAATCCTTGATGGTTGATTTTCCTGGGGCAGTGTCCGGAAATTCGTTATCAAGCCAAGTTTTTGCTTCAACTGTATTTTTTCCCTTCAAAAAGCAATATTTTATCAACACGCGAAATTCCTTTTTATCCATTTTTTTCACAATAACAAAAGTTGCTTCACTAAAAATGCTATAATTCACAAACTAATGATCCGACAGCCGTCAAATTTATAGACGCGTCTTTTGAAGGTTAGGACTAACTGAAAATCATATGGATTTAGTTCTGGTGCCGCCATGTTTGTGTCAGGCCGGGGACTTTTCAATTGACCCTATATTTACGTAAATCTGTCTTTTGGGTATGTGGGCAGCTATTGTCTGGATCAGTTAGTTTTTGTGGTGTTTTATGTTGATTCACGGTTCTTTTTTGTATTATCTGGGGTACTTTCAGGTCATTGTGAAGTTCCCAGTTTGAGGCGTAGTTTTGAATTGCCAGTTTGGTGCGCTCGTAATTTTTCTGAGTGTTTTGTGTGTTTGGACCTTTAGTCGTATTATAGGTTGGTTTTAGGATGGCTTTTACGATTTGTAGTTTGTGTGGTAGATGGAGTTTGATTTTCTTGTTCAGGAGGGTGTGGAGTTGGTGTACTCTTCGTTTGTAGTTCTTGATTATTTGGTTTGTGTGGGTTGTAAGGTGATGTGTTTGCCCACTGTAATTCCTAGATGTTTTGTTTCCTTTCGTCAGTTGATGGTTTTGTTGCCTATCTTGATCGTAGGTGGTGGGTTCTTGTATATTTTCCTTTTTTTGGAGAAGATTGTAGTTTCGGTTTTATCCATGTCTAAGATCATTCTCTAGTGTGAGCTAGTTCCTTATGGTGTCCATGTTCTTTTGTAGTATTTTAGTGATGGTTCTCTTTGTGTGTGGCGTAGACCGCTGTGTCGTCTGCGAATTGTGCGATGTTTGATTTTAGGTTTGTAGGAAAGTCGGCCATGCAGAGGTTGAAAAGTACCGAGCCTTGCAGCCTGTTTCAGATTCATTTCCAATTATTTTACTGACTGCTGGTAGTAGGCTCATGGGCCTGTAGCCGGAGGTGGACGTTTTGGGTTTTCCTTTCTTGGGGATAAGGATAGATTTTGCTGTATTTCATTTGGTGGGGAAGTGTTGAGATGCCTTCCTTTGGTAGTAGTTTTAGATACGTAGTGTTTTTTTGTCTGGTATTGGTGCATTCCATGCTTTGGCTATGCTGATGTAGGTTGCAATTTCGTCTTATGTTAATTCATGGATGTTGTCCTCTGTGCTTGGATGTACAGATGTATTATGGGTTATATGCCGGAGGTCTGCGTCGTTGGGGTGTGTATTGTGGGCTCTGCGGTAAACTGTGCTTGGTAGGTGTAAGCGAAGAGTTCTGTTTTTTTTACGGTGTTCGTTATAGTTGAGTTGTTTGTTCTGATTGGGGCAGTATTCTAGGTCCTGCTGATTTCGTGAGTTGTTTAGTTATTTTCCACAGAGATTGATCTTTTGTGTTCAGGTTCTCCATTTCATTATCCTGTTTGGTGAGGCAGTGTTCTTCTAGTTCGTTCTTGACTCGATTAGTTAGACTCTTGAACGATGTCTTTAGGCTTGGATCGAGAGGTTTGTAATATAGTTTTTTGTTTTTTTTTTCTTGATGAGTGCTTTGATTGAGTGCGGAGTGTAGTATCCTGGGTTGGCCGTTTTCCTTTTCGCAGCTTTTTGTAATGCATTTTGGATTTAGGTCGCGAATGTGTGGATTGCTAAGTCAATATCCTGCGGTGTGCTGATGGTTGGTGTAGTGATTTGTGGTTCTTCTTTGTATTTGTTCCAGTCTGTAACATTGACTTAGTGGTTGGGAGTTTCTACTGATGTTTGTATCTGGAGGATAACCGGGAGGTGGTCAGACGACAGGTCATATTCTGCTAATATTGTGAAGGATAACGATAGGTTTTTGATTAGCGTTACGTCTAGGATGTCTGTCGAGAGATTTGCGACGTGTTGTCGGTGATGTTTTCTAGTAATACTCTTTTTGGGTTTGAGATTCTGCAGTCCCAGATTGTTTCTTTGGCGTTCCAGTCTCCGGCGAGTGTTGTTGGTCTCTTCTGGTTTCTTCAGGCATTTTATGTAGTGAGGAGTATGTCGCGTAAATGTTAATTTTTTTGTTGTTTGGGTAGATTGATATTTCTGTTGATTCCAATGCTTTAGTTGCGATGGCAGGTTGGAGGATGTAGTTGTGTTTGTGTGTGTTGTTTGATTAGGATAGCAGTGCCTCCTCTTTTTTGTATTTTCCTGTCCGTTCTGTATGTATTGCAGTTCCTGACTTTGAGGGTATTTACTGGTATCAAGTTGACTTCGTTCAGGAGCATTATGTTGTTGTTGTGGTCTTCGAGGAAGTTCGTTAGTTGTTTTATCTAATTGTTAATGCCGTTGGCGTTCCAGAATGCGATTTGACGTTTTTGGTTGGTGAGTTTTCGCATT